AATCTTATCCTAACGATGATGAATCTTATCCTAACGATGATGAATCTTATCCTAACGATGATGAATCTTATCCTAACAATGATGAATCATCTAATGATAATGAATCACCTTCTAACGATGATAATTCACCTCCTGATAATGATGAATCTCCTTCCGAAGATGAGAATTCACTTAATAATGATGATTTATATGCTGACAATAACCTTCCTGATGGTTATTTTAATAATTCTCACAGCGAATCTGACTATAATCCTCATCAAAATGACGATGGTTATTTTAATGCTTCTCATAGCGAATCTGACTATAATACTCATCAAAATGACACTTGCACTAATCCTGTATTGAATATTGAAAATCTATCGAAAACTTGCGATTTTTATACAAGCTGCATAGAAAACAAATTTCATTGCGGAAATGATGGATATCCACTTGCTTATGGATTCAAGTATTGCAATCGATTCGCTAGTTCCTTAAACCTGTTCAGTGATGCTGGAAAGAAATGGTATGATATTTATAAATTTATGATTAATGTCAGATTAGTGCTTTGATTAGAATTAATCGACATTTAATAATCATGATTCCAACTTGATAATTCATGGTAAAATTAAAATCTGAATAATGAACGATCAGAATAACACTATAAATTGTTAATATAGTAATTATTAAGAATTTAATATTCAGACTTGAACTTTAAAGCTCTTAATATGGATCTGAAAGATTGAGATTAGAAATATCGATAACTGTGTCTTAATTTACATTGCATGATCATTATCATTCGAAAATATAATGAACAATTACATTAATATTCAAACATTAGTGTGCCAATTATCGGCAGTATGTTTTAATTGTCTGTACCTGACACTTCTGACACTTTCAGAACTCTGAACTCTAATTATATAGTCTAATATATTTATTTATTTATTTATTTTTATTTAAATATTAATACATCTCTTTTGCAATTAGGGTTGTCAATACAATAATTTGCCTTCAAAGGTCATTAGTGTCGACATATGAAAATGACGCATCTACCTGCTCAGATATAATGAATATTGCCTACATTTCTCATACACCATGTTATATTGCAAATGGCCTTTGTGATATTTCTCAAGATTGGTATACCTTATTTAAAGTTATTGATGCTATAGATTTATTTGGAAGCTACCAAGCTCTTAAGGTAAACAGCAATTATATTATAAACATGATACCAATTATGATATTAACGAGATTTATTTTCTATAGCAAGCATTAAATGTGGGAGGTAATTGTTTACAATTAGTTACATGGCTTGATGAAAATGAAAGTGATACTAGTTATGCTTAATTTTGGTCGACATCATTCTATTTTCGAAAATATTATCAATAATAATTACCTTTGGTGTCCGAATATGTTAATAATATAATTTATAAAATTAATGTAGAGTTATATACATATATATTCTATAGAGAAAAGATACAGCAGCTTTGTAGATATAAAGATATTTGTGAATACTGTATATATATATTTACTTTTATTTTGTGATTACAATTTTCAACAAAGCTTCGACAAATGTTAATAAGATCTTAGTTGTTTGAAATTACAACATGAGCGATATTTTCTTTAATCCAGTCAATAAATTCTTGATCGTATCGAAAATTTTTTTTAATTAACGTCTAGTTGTATAATGTATTTATTATGAAAGCTAACACTACATTCAGAACCTTTTTTATGTACAAGCTCTTATAAGTCTGGTATAACTGGAGACGATAATAAGTAAATGCTTTTGTCGTTCTCTATACAAAAGTAATGACTAACGTTAGTCTTTGGATAAAAGATTTTCATTATAACAGTGGGCATGTGGCGATTGGAAATTTCAACTAGAAATAAACATTGATATAGAAAAAGAATCGAAGACATGCCAAAAATAAAACCGTAAATAAGTTTATTTTCCATTAAATAAAAAGTAATCTAACCATTGTTTATGATGACATTTCGTAGTGTTATTCCTTGAAGTTGTTCTAACTTTTATTGACTAAAAACGGTTACTTTTTTGATGGGAAATAACAAGCATTACTAGAACTTTGTTTTTACTGATTAAGTAGTGATTATGAGCGGTAAATCCCCTTATAGAAACGTGCAATTATATTTTTAAGATTAAAACTTATGCGTAATGTCCTATTCATGTTCTGCGTCGTTCCACAATTTAGATCAATTTGGAATTGACTACGTCATTTTTAAATTTTCACCGATTTAGAACTGATTTGGGTCGATTCTCAATGCATCTGTACGAAGCATTTTCGCTGGGTGTGACCAATCATTGGGTGTGACAAATAAACACTGACTAAATATATTTATTTAAACATTTAGTTGGTGTTTAATTGTCACATCCAATGATTGGTCACACCCAAACGTTAATCACAAAATTTAATAAAACTTCGAACTCAGAATTATCAATTTATTATGCTACAAATGTATTACGTATGTCTAATTAATTAATAATGCAAAAGAAAAAATAATAATAAAGCTTTTAAATGTATAATTTAAATAAATCTTTTTATCTTTCTTAATTTTCGATATTAATTTTTAAAAATGGAACGATACAACTTTCTGGCGCGTGAAACCTTTGACCGAATATTAGAAACTTTTATTCGTCAAAGGAAAAACAAACGTAGTTTAATGGATCGAAATAAATATAATCAATGTTTAAATGTACTTATTATTATTGCTCGATCATAACTTTATTGAATTATAGTAAACGGAAATATACATATGGGATATAGGCTCGCTATCTGATATCATCTTCAAGCAATAGTAAACCAATTATAGTATATTATCCTAAGCAAGGGACATAGCATTGAAAGAGAATTGGAAGAATAGATAGTAAATTAAGCTAATAGACCCTTGCTGACTCTACTTAAAAATTATAGGAACTCTGTGGTCATTGAACTAATAGTTAGTCACTGAGCTACTTGAGTAAATTATGCAGCCTTTGCATCAATAGTCATTGAGCTGCGCGATTTATTATCTATAGGGGGGGTAGGATGGGTTGAAAGAGTCAGCCTAGTACTATAATGCGGGCAATAGTGAACCAAAACTAATGCACCTTAAACTCACTTGTACCTAAAATACTTACCACGATACAGGTATTTGCCTTTACCTTAACCTGCTTATATGTATAGACTGCACATGCCAATACCCAACCTTCACATAAAGGTTCATGAGAACTTTTCATAACTTACCCTCTTTTCATAAGCATTGTACTCAAAATAAACTTTCCATTTCCATTGAACTCATTATACATGCCCTATTCAGTATCGCAATCCATAAAAGGATGTACATTTTCCCGTCTTGCATGTAATATGAGATCTTCTAATCTCACAATAATGCTAGTCTTGTCACTTCATTGACAAGCTAGACATTATTATTGCTCAATCATAACTTTATTGAATTATAATAAATGGAAATATACATATGAGAATAAAAGAGGATCAAAGTTGAATAGTCAAAACCCATCTTCTTAGAAACTTGCATTTGTGTTGTTCCTACCAGTCTTAGGTACAGCATGACTGCCTTACTATCCCAACCGCCAATTGCTCTTATCTGGGTGAGGGAAAGACCAGCTTCCATAGCTGCTATTGCTCCCCCTATCCTAATGCTATGTGCTGTATAGCAGCCTTCTAGACCTGAATGTTTGGCAAGCCTTTTAACAATCACTCCAATCGCACCTACAGTTAACTGCTTGCCTTGTCTAGAAAGAAAGAGAGAACAGTTCTCTGAGATTTTTGGTCTGATCGACATAAATCTTTCTAGCAACCTTATAGGTCAGTAGGGACTATTTATGCACTCGATAGGGATAAACTTTCCATTATAGAATTGGTTTGTTTTTGATGAACCTATTCTAATCCAACATACATTTCCCTTAAATTTAATATCCTTCAGTTTTAATCGGCAAAGCTCTCCTGGTCTCTTATAGTTCTCAAGCCTATTGCCATTAATGCTGCATCTCTTATCCAAAAGCTTTTATCTGCATAAAGAGGTTTCTTATCAATGAAATTTCTTAAGGCCAAGACAGGGAGTGGGTCACATGGCCACTCAGGGTCTCTATCCTTCCTATATTCTTTTAGCAGGGCTCTATAAATTGTCTTAACTTTGTATGCCTTTGAAGGGTCTGGGAATTGAGCATTTAAATGTTCCTTTAACACTGCAGCTAAGATATCTGTGCACTTCACAAAAGCATGAGTCAAGTCTAGCCATATAAGACAGGAGACAAGTATATCCACAGAGGAAGGTAGAGCCTTTTGCTTAGTAATTTTACAAAAACTGAGAAATATGCTCCAAGCCTTGTCCAAATAGTTATTCCAACCTCTAAAGAATGCTTTACTAAATAAGGACTGAGCCTTAGCCAACAGCTTACTAACTAATTTACTCTTATTGCTAGAAAACACCACTCTGGGTTTTTCCATGGTTCTACTACTTCTGACAGACCCTTTATGAATGTTATTTGTGGAGGTGGAAGCACTAACTGGTCGACTTGTATATGCATTAGTGTTAGCTACCACTCCGCAGAGACCCACAGAGGGACTATTACTATTGCAGAAAAATTTTCTTCTACTATGTGGTGAAGTACTCGATGGATTAGACCTAAGGGAGGACAAACGTAATTGTTTTCGTTTGACCAATCTTGAGTGAAACAGTTTACTCCCTCTGTGCATGGACAATAAAATCGGCTGTTGAAGCGCAATAGCTTTGTATTTTGATAGTCTGCCATTCTGTCTACAGAATGTGGTCCCTATTTCTTGTCTATTAGGTTGAACACAGACTGTGCCAAAGTCCAATCAGCAGTGTCGACATATCTGATTAATGAATCGGCTGGGTTTATTTGTGTAGAAATCCAAAAAGTTTCGTTGATCCAAATGTAGTAGCTGTCAAGCAGTAACCACAGTCTCCTTAGAAGATCTTTTTGCCATAGTAATCGTTCTCCTTTTATTATTGTACTGATTGCTGCTCGATTGTCTATATGCAGGTTTACCCACGAATGTGCTAGCAGACTTGCAAAAGAATTTATTCCAAGTAACACAGCTTCTGCTTCTAGCCTTGTGATTTCTCTAAATGATTTCTTTGCACTCCAGTTCCCGAATGCCTGATGATTGTCGAACACTGCTGACCATCTTACTGTTGAAGCATCTACAAAAACAGACTTTATTTTTGAAGGCTTCCAGGCTGGGTGCCCGTTGTATTTTTCTAAATTCATTGCTAACTATTTTGCATCTTCTTTTGCTTGCTCTGTTAGTGTAATCATTGAATCTCATTGCCAATATCTTCTGCTTGCTATGTCTATTAAGGAGTAAAACTCCAAATATCGAACTCTTGTATGAGCAAATGCTCTGTTGAGAGATTGAATTTTCCCTGTTACAACTGCTAACTGACATGCTAAAATTACCTTCTTGCCTATGAGTTCCTCTAACAGTGATCTTGTCATACAAATCTTGTCTTTGGGGACAATAACTTGAGCCTTGACTGTATCAATTATTAAGTCATAAAATTTGGGCTGCTGAGTTGGTTTCCATTGACCTTTTGACAATTCCCTTATCAGACCACACTTTTCTAAATCTGTTCTTATTATGTTGTCTCTTATTGATATTAATGTATGAGATGAAGAGTGAGCCATTCAAAAATCATCTATATAATTTCCACAGAAAATGCTAAATAACCTCCAATAACCGATGATGGCTCTCATTACCTTCGAAAATATCCATACTGCCTGTGACAGGCCAAAAAGCAAAACTCTGTAATGGTACCATTTTCCTAGAATCTGAAAACCTAAGAATCTTTGGGCATCTTCTCTCATTATAATGTGATGGTACCCCTCTTTCAGGTCCCAAGTTATTATATACCAAACTTTTTCAATAGTCCAGAGCATACCACCGAGACCTTCTAAACGAATAGTTTTTTCTGGCAAGATCGTATTTAATCACCTTAAATTTATAACTAGCCTCCATTTCTTTGGGCCCCTCTTGGGAACTAGAAAAATGTGGCTTACTTCTAATAAGAACTCGGGATGCTTTGTCTGTTCTCCTAGATACCAAATTGCTAAGGTTTTTAGAAGACGTTCCAATTCTTTTAATACCCATTGAGACTGTTCTTCTGATAGAGGATATTGCCATGGATCTGGCTTTGCTGCTAAAACTAATACTCCCTTTGGCCATAGTGGAACACCGTTTATTAACCAGTCTAGAACTACTGATGAGGGTTTTATTTTTTGTTTCCAATATTGTAAAACTTCTTTTTACTGAATCTTTCTCACAACTGATATCAACTTCCTTGTCTCTGAAGGCTTGATTTCTACTAAACCCATTGCCTGAGGCCGAGTGTAGTCAATCTTTCTTTTGGGTTCTGGAGAGGGACTTTGCATTTGCTAAAGGGCAGTTTGTTGCAATATGGCCAAAACCTCTGCAGTTAAAACAGGTGATTTCCCTAGTACAATCTGAGGACTTAAAGTCTTTTCTACCTCGAAAGAAGTATGTCCTTTTACCTCTCTTTCTATTTTTCCTAAAGGAACCTTTGTTGTCAGAGTTTAATGATGAGGAAGAGTCATAAAACCCATCTCTCTTCCTCTTATATTAGTACCTATTGGACCTATTCTTATAACCCCAATTATTATATTTCTGAAAGATAGTGGGTTGGCCTGTAACTGGAATTCAGTCCTTATACTTTTCCATTATTTTGTTATTATTTCCTACAATTTGTAAGGCTGTTTTCCACCCTTTCTTATTCACAAGCCTCAACATAACTGCTTTAGATTCCATGTCATCTCTAATACAAATAAAATCTTTTTTAAAATTATTAGGAAGCAATTTAATGGCTTTATCCAAACGTCTGCCCATTTTGGAGAGGAAATCATATTCATGCTGGTCTCTGGCTTTTGTGAGTTTAACAGTAGGCCATGCTTCATTCAGCAAATCACCCTCCTCGATCTCCTTATATAATGTTGAAAAATTTTTATCCATCTTATTTTCTAAGTTTCTTAAGGCCGACAAGAACATGTCAGCAGACATAACTTCTGGATAGCACCTTTGCTCCTGCCTTTGAAAACCTGCTGCAAGTGTATCTCTAATGTTATTATCTGCAAATTGTGAATTCAATTTAACACAATCCTCCTCCAAATCGGCAATTCCCTTTCTTTTAAATACTCTATCACCACTATTACTAAACTCATTACCAGCCCCTTCTGTATCAATGTATGGGTCATGGCTCATCTCTCTTGCAACAAATTCAGAATCAGGTTGTTTATCCTTTCTCTTTTCAAAAAAGACATGAAGTCTTTCACCCAACTCTTCCTTATTCCCTTCTGAGGTTAACCTGCAAGTTAAACACAACTCCTTTAGTTCAGCCAAAGTTAATTTATTCCAACTCACAAATGACATTTTAACGATACTACTATTGATTTGAATTATTGTTTATTGATTTATTTAATGCTTATTTATTTTAACAGT